AAGCACACTGCTTTCTTGCAAGGGGTCACTGCAGAGGTGTATGTCTGTGTCAGCATTGCCAGTGGATATATTTTATAATTGGTTAAAGTCTAATGCCTGATTTCTTAAAGTACTGTGGTCTTCTGCGTACTGCAAGGTGCTTTCTTGTTGAACCAAGACAGTCATGTACAATATTTTTTAATTTTTTTTTTTTTTTTTTTTTTTTAAGTTTTGAAGTATCTTAAAGTGCATTACAAAAATACTAGCAAGCTTTCCTAACTCCTTGGAGGTGTGTCAGCAAGTGGCTGGGAAGCACAGAGCACCTCTGGCTGGCGGTTTGTCGGGCAGGGACTGTGGTGGTACAGGTGTGTGGAGCAGAGTACTCCTCCACCAAGCCCCCTGCCCTCTCCTCTGCAGAAACACATTGTCTCTGCAGCAGTGCCAGTGTGTGAGCTCGCTATAAAACAGATGAGTGAGTTAATTTGGGGGTTGAAAATGTATATTGGGAAAAACCCAAACAAAGAATTAGGCACAACCCTCTCTGGTCCTGATGCACAACGTGGAATCGTGCTGTGATTCAGAGTCATGTTGGCATAACCACGGGGCAGCAAACAGGAGTGGCTGGAAGGGGAAGGGAGACCAGGAAATCCTTGAACTAGAGCTGCTGCCAAAGCCTTTGTATTGCCAGGCTAGGGCCTTGGTGACTAATTTTGCTATTCAACCTTGAACAAACAGCAGAGCTGAGAATTAATTCCTTGAGCTGCGGTTCAGTTTTATACTCGTAGAGTGGCCCTTGTTAGAGGAATACCTGTCAGTCTGTGCTGGCTAGGTGTAAGCAGTGTCTCTGAATCTGCCTTGTGTTCAGACCTCACAGAGGTATTTGGTTTATAAGCGTATCATCTACTAACAAGTGACAGCTATTTATGTCCCATTTGTCTTTTTCTGTTTGTTCAAGGATTGACGTAGATGAGATGATTGACACAAAGTATTATTTTTTCCACAGGTGGTTATTTCACATCTTTTTGCATCAGTTTTCACCTTTGTATCACGCAGGTGTGCTTCATAATTATTATAAAACTCCCAGATATTGTTATCTCACAGCCTTTAGACTTTGATGTTATGTTTAATATATGTTTTCCGGGATGATTAGTTGTACATAAGGCTTTACTGAAACCATTGCCAACAATTAAGGTTTACGCTCTGTGAATTAGAAGATGTGCTTTTTAAATTTCAAGATGTTTTTGTTAGCTGGGATTTGATGTAAGGCTTAGGTAAGGAAAATTACTGTTGTTTTTCTTTCAAACCTCAGGATGAATGCTAAAATGCTGAGGCTGACAGGAACAGATGGAGTATTCAAAATAAAATCATTTCTGGAAGATATTGATCACTCTCCTTTGCCTAGTTCAGATATCCTTAGAGACTTGCGTTGTTAGTGAAAGGAGATAAAACTTGTGGGAAGAGAGAGATGTTTGATATGACGCAGAGTGGATCAGTAAGTGGTGGTGCATTGTCATTTGGAAAGGAACCCTCTGCTTTCAGCAGGTTGTTTTTAAAATGCAGCCTTGGCTTTGCCGTCCCGAGCAAAGCCGCGGCCTTCGTGTGCCTTCCAGCATGATGGCGCTCACTTATTCGAGCCAGAAATAAGGTTACACAGCATAACATTTTCATAAAGAAAATAGTCAGCAACAGCTGGGCTCAATGACAATTTTTGGATGAAAACATCAAAAAGTAGACTTCTTTCACAGTTGCCCAGTGTAGGATTGACATTTATTTGCATTGATAAAGATACTTCAGCAAGTGGGTTACCCCTTCAGTCCCTAGAACAACTTTTGTAGGACAGATGGCTCTGCAAGCAATGCTGTCTGTGCACTTCAATGATATAGATTTATGTTCAAAATAAGGTTATAATGGTCCAGTAGTGTTCAAAAAGCTTAAAGGATGCATTGCTGAAGTTCTTGCACTCCATTTTCTAACTAAATTCTTGAAATACAGTGTGCAAAACTGTATTTCAGCCCTGTGTGTTTAGGGAGAGACTTGCAAAAGGGCATGGAGATGAGAGCAGGAGCTTGTTGGTAGATAGCAACAGATTGTGAGAGAAGTTGAGGTCATGCCTCCAGCAGCAAAGAACTTGCTATGCTTGAGGTTGGTGCTTCTGTTTTGTCCCTGCTATGAATTGTAGCTGTTCAGAGCTATATACAAGACCACAGTTGAATTCTTTGCATAGTACTGCATAATATTTACATTTTGATAACACTTCATGAAGGTGAACTTCTATTTAATGTAATTACTTCATTTTGTTTCATATCATTTACTGCAACTGACTTTACATCTTGCATCTTTTATTTTGATGCTCACAGGAAAAAGTCATTCCTCTTAGAAGCTCTTAAGAAAAAGTAGAAGTATTACACTTTTATCCAATAAATATTTACCCAGCTATTTTAAAATATAATGTACTGGAGGATAGCTGGGCAATGGCTTCTGCATACAAGTTTGGATGTGCATCGTGAGCTTGGCCAAGTTGTACATATAAAAGGTTATTATTTCATGGAGAATGTTTGCAAGTGTATCCAAACTCCATCTAATGCAAGTTCCAGCAAGATAATAGCATTGCTTCTTTATTCAGGATTTTCTTTTGGCAAAACATTATATAGCTGTTGTTTTACACAGATTCTAGGACAGTGTATTCATCATTCAGAATCCTCCTTTTCCTTGGTTAAGCACCACTGAAGAATAAATATGCCTATGTGAATGAGGAGCTGATTGTTCTAGATTAGCAGAGGGTTTCTTGGTGTGTGGTTGGTTGTTTTTTTTCTTTTTTTCCTTCTGCTTGACAGACTGCATCTATCATGACGAATTGCTGAAAAGGTTTAGAGACCAGTAAGTGTAATTCAGAGAAGGAGAACAGTAACACAAATGAGGAAACATTGCTCACAAAGAGTAAACAATGTGCCCGTTGGCTTCCCTTGTTAGCTGAGCAAACATGTGAGTGGGGCAGGATCTGTCCTTCGAGTGTGAAATACCTCCCTGCCTGCATTTTGGGTCTCAGCTGTGCTTGTTGGTTTACATGAATGTCCTAAGTTTTGCGTTGTTTGTAGACCAAGTACACAGGCCTAGTCTATTTATGGTTATTCCAGTATAGAAAATATTTTGAAATATAGAGACAGCCGAATATTGCTCCTGCTGCACATGTTTGACCTAAATGATCCCGGAGAACTTGTGGAAAGCACAAGTGAACATCATGATCAGTCATGCAGCTCTGCTGTACGTGAAGGTGGGCAGCCTCCTTACTAGAGTGACAAAGTTTGGAAGGAAACTTTAAGATATCCATAGGAAGGGCATGCATGGCCTCTGCTTTTATAATTGTGAATTACAGAAGAAATTCTGCTTATGAAAGGCTTTTAGACCTTGAAGCTGAAGAGTGTAAACCTTTAAGATGTTCTCTGTTGGGTGTGGGGAGTCTACTGTTGATAAACACCACCACAAAAATGAATCTCCTATCCTCAGCTTGGGAAACCAACCTGTCTGTAGTCAGTACTTTAGGTCATGGCCATGGTGTGTCTTGCAGCATGGACACTGGAAAAGAAATCTTTGTACTGAAGAAAAGGAAGGGGATTATAAAAAGATAGACTTCAGTGGGAAAAAAAAAGTGTTATGGAAATTTTTGGTGGTTTCTCTGTTTTGTTTTTTTGTTGCCTTTTTTTTTTTAAATAAGTGTAAATATTTCACATTAAAGGAGAAGTGTTCCTCCTTATCTGTGGAAAAAGAAGTCGCTGGCTACAAAGGCAGTAGATTCTCTGGCGTGTGATATTAAGGAAGCTGCAGGTGAGGTCGATGTGGGTTAGATCCATCTCGGGACTTTGTGTTCCTGGCAGCCTGATTTCTTTGTGCTGTGGGGATGGGCAGGGCAGTTAGAGCTGCACCAGGCAGTGCCCCAGGTGCTCTCAGACTGGGAAGAAAGAAGGCTGGATGGTCTGTGTTCCTGTGGGTTGTCATGTTGCATCAGTAGTGTATTTCTATGGAGTGTGCCATGGACACAAAGCAGGCCCTGTCATCACTGTGCTAACTGTCCCCTGAACAGGTGACTCTACCGTTTCCCTGCAGCCTTTGAGTACTCTGTTCTTAGATGGCCAGAAACAGGACAGATACCCTTATAGGTGGTTGGTCTGACCTGTTGTGGGGCAGGAGTGGTGTTGAGCTGTTGTCTGCAGTCCAGCCCAGAATGTTCACACCTGAGGGCTGGGGCTGTGGTGTTGCTGATGGCTGTGGCTGAGTCACAGCCCACCTGCCAGAGGCTCCCAGCCAAGCTTGTGCTTCAAACGAGCAGGAGGAGAACAGGATCACTGGGAGTGTGCACTGGTGCACTTGCAAGGTGTCACAAATTCACTACATATATATTACCAAAAAAAGTTTGGTTATGGTAGTGATTGCGTATTTAATGTTTTTGGAGTAACACGTATCTTACACAAAAGCAAGCCTACAAGCCTTCCTTCCAGCCCTATAACATCTCTCCCCAGATGTCCCAGTTTCAGTTGCTCATTTTTTTCTGTCTGAAAAATTCTCTGTAGTCTGAAGCATTCTCTGTCTTTGAGGCAAATACATGAGAATGAATAATACAATCAGGGAAAAAGTCACAATTGAATCTACCTTCATATGGGACTGAAGATCTTCCTGGCTAATAGAAGCTGTATTTCCCAAGGTCATTAGTTTGTTTTCTACTCTTTTTTTTGGTAACTAAAAACCTTAGCTAATAAGCCTAGAGCCTTTCTGCATGACTTTAAAATCAGAAACTACAAGATAGGAGCTAGTTTCTCACTTTATATTTAACAATTGAAATAGTACAGAGTTATGACTATGAATTCTGAGCAAAATACTTTTATTTCTCTTGGAACAGTCAGGGTTGCATGTTTTGTACAGGCCTCTAGTTGGGCTTGAAACTTTTCAAATCTTGAATTATAATTAAAGTCAGGTATTTTAAAACTTTTTGCTCTGTTTTGTTTTTCTCATTCCCTGCCTTGCTTCAGACCGGAGGAGACCAACAGAAGAGTGAAAAATGTAAGACACATCTACTTCAGTGCTTTCTGGAACAATTTCATGCTAATTCTGATTAAATATTTTAAAACCACTTCTGTTTATGGCACTATCATGTTTACCTCATTCTTCAGCTCTTCATTTATCTAATGCAAATTAGTGCCATCTTACGATGATCTCTATGCAGCTTACTTTCCCAAATAAATGTTATAATTATTAACAGTACTTATATCTGCTTACTTGAGATACATGAGATGCATTGTAACACTCTTTAATTGGTTTTGGTGCACATCATAGCTAATATTGTAAACAAAATTTTACAATTCATTGTGGAAAACCTCTCTAAGAGCATGCTGAGATTCTTTTTTACTGGTACAAGGTATGAAAGGAAAGTAATTAAGCTTGGGGTTTTTTGTTGGTTTCTATTTTAGGTTTTGATTACATTATACTGGCTTGGGAGGAAAGCTCAAAGTAACCCTCATTATAATGGTCCATACCTGAATCTTAAAGCATTTGAGAAGTTACTAGGGCAAGCATTGACCAAGGTAAGGAACCCAAAAAGAGTAGTAAACAAATAGCCTGAATTATATGCTTGGCTATAAATTGCAGCATCAACTCTAAACAGTCTCTATGGGGTTTAATTTTATTTTTAGTTTGGACAGCATAGCTATTTGTTTTGTTTATTTTGCTTGTTATCAAAGTCCATAGGAAAGCATTGATTTTTAGCTTACACTGGTTCTTCTGCTATCCATACAATCAGGAAATTCAGAATCCACCTACTCTGACTGATGTGGTAGATTGTGAAGACCCCTGTCTTAATTCCTTTTAGCTGAGATCAGAGAAATTTAAGACCTTGTGTTGCATCTCCTACCTGAGATGTTGTAGATCTTGTTTGTAGGGCTTTGTAGCAGTCTGTTAAAGTTCGTTTGTGCACTCAAAATGCGTTTGAAAAATTTTTGAGTGAAAACTTACAAGTAGCATTTGAATCTTAAATTACTGTAAAAGACATTGTGAAACCTACTCTCACAGGCACTTGAAGAATCTAGCCACCTGAACAGGAGTGGCAGGGACAGCGGGTACGGTGATATTTGGTACATAGACCGAGGAGAGCCCTTCTCATCTTCAGCTAGCCATAAAAGAGACGATTCCTTCGATAGCTTGGACTCTCTTGGTTCAAGATCCTCTACAAGCTTTTCATCAGATATAACCTTGAAAGGTGGCAGCGAAGGTATGTTTTCCTCTCTGAAATCTTTTCTTGACATATGTCTTATGAGTATAGGAGAAGACAATGTATGGACCTAAGACTTCAGGTGCCCACTACTTAAATTGGCTTGGAAGGCAACTTCGGTTTTGCAAGTGCTGCAGTTGCGTTTTGCTTAAGTAAATATTGACCTTTAACTGTTGGTAGAAACAAAGCAATGCTCACATGAATTTTCCTAGGAAGGGTTGCTGGGACTCTTGGTGTCGCTGACGTGTTAGGATGTGTGTATGTGCAGGGTGTTTTCCCATAGTTCTTGATGGGATCACCTAAAATTCAACAGTTGCTGAAGTCTATTGCCTTGTTCCTAGTGTGGATATGCTAGACTTCTGTGTCTTCACTCAGTTTGTGAATATTCGCTATTTCCCACCTAGGTGAAAAACCAAATAGTAGTTGCTACTTTTGATAGTTTGTTATGGGAAGAAAATTAACTAGAAGGAAGTTTGTAACATTGGATCCCTACATCTGTAACCTGTGTTTCTCTCCCATTTTTAAAGCTTAAAACAAATTTGTAGTCTATTGTAAAGCTACCAAAATAGTGAGCTTTTGGATTTTGTTCCATGTGAATAACATAAAATGATTAGGCCAAGACCACATGGAGCATTTCTGATCTGAACAAAACAATCTCTAGACCAGCTACACCTGTGACATACCCTGAGCTCCTACCTGGCGTTAATCTGGTGAGATGAGCACACTTGCAGGTAACTTGTCTTGTTAGTACATTTGAGTGGCAAGTATGTTTGTAATTAAGACATTCTGTGCTCTTTTATGTCTTCAATCTAGAGGTCAGTGCCTTGTTTCCTGCAGGGAACAGTGATAGTGAAAGAATGGAACGAATGTAGCAGGAGCATGCAAATCAAACTCAACTTAATGGACCTTATCGTAGCTTTGCCACAGTCTTCTAAAAATACCTCTCCTGCTATCCGGCCAGTAGCTCAGCAAATCTCCAGCCGAAACGTCCTGAATATAAGCTCATTTTAGAAGGCTTGGGTGTAAGTTCTGTCTAGAAGCTTGTGTCTATAGAATAATGTTTGTGCCTTCCCTTTCCTCTGCTTTCTTCTAAGGTTGTGACAGTGACACAGACTCAGAACTGCCTTTCAAAATGCACGACTCCCATAAAGACGACAGGTCCTACCGTAGGATTTCTGTGATTGAACCAAAACCTACCACTGACTTCAATCGCTTCTTGCCCAGCAAAAACAAGCAGACGGCTTATGTGCCAGCACCCTTAAGGAAGAAGAGGACAGAGAAGAATGAGGACAACAGGAGGAGCTGGGCAAGTCCTGTCACAGAGTCAGATGGAACATTTTCAAGGTACTGGTATCCAGTCTTAGTAAAGTGGGCTTTGATTTAGGACTTCTAAAAGAAATTGTTTCTTTATTAGCTAAAGAAAAGTTGTTCTTGCTGCAAAGCAAAATATTTCAGTTTCTGAATTTTAACAGGGGGGATGTTTTAGTGTGGTTGTGTGCTGGTTGTTTCGGTTTGGTTCTGTTATTTTGTTCCTCATAACTAGTTCTCTGGTGTTTGAATAACGTTTTGAGGCTGGTCAGTCTCCAGGTAGAGGGTATTAAAATGATCTTAAATGCAAGTTCATGAGAGACAGACCCATAGTTTTAGTTTCTCAGTAAAGCTTTCCAAAATATGGTGATGAATTTCGATTTTCCAGCTTCTTGCTGCATACAGATGAAATTAGTGGGTAGTTCTTGGTTTTCATCATTGCCTTGATGACTTCACTGTCTTCATTCTGTTCCTGTTTTGGTCAACCTCAGTGGATGTGAAAGGAATCCGGTAGCTTCCTGCCAAAATAGCAGAGCAGAGCATGGGCCCACAAATCCAGCTTGCCTCCAGATGATCTATGAGTATGACAGTGGCTCTGATTCAGAAGATGAAAGAAGGCTGCCTGACCTGGTTATGGATGACTTAGCAAAACGTAGATTTCTAGTCAAAAAGAGCCCTGTAAGCTCTGCTGCACCTGGACGTCATTTTACGTTGCGCAATGACTCTCCTAAATCTTGCTCACAAGAAAGTTATCCAGCTGGTCCACTAGCTGCAATGCTTGAACCACTGAGGTCAGAGATACTAATCCAAGATTCAGTAACTATTGTACTACCTAAATTGCAGTACATACATAACTCCATGGAGTTAGCCTTCTAATCATCATTTTAACACAGCTGATAATTCGTTACACCTTTTCTGTCAGACTTCATTATTTTTTGTCAGAAGCAATAGAATGCTGTTATAACCATTTAACTTCTTTTTTTGATATATGTTTTATTTCTGGTGCTGCAATGATGGAATTGAGAACTAATTTGCTTCATTCACAAAGTTGAACTCCTGAGCCAAAAAGCATGTCTTTTGTGCATTCTTTATGTCAAATTGCTCCTAAAATATCCTAACTGATTGGGTATTTTGAACAGTAACCAGAGAAGGCAGAGGCAGTTGGAAACTAAAGAGGAAAACAAACCGAGAGCTAACATTCCTTCAGAACTGTCTGGGTATTTTGATGAGGATGAAGAAGAAGAAATAGGCATCCCAAACATTGAAAAAGACGATCTCTTTTTTCGCAAGTTAAGTTCTTCAGCGGCAAATACGGTTGTTGCTTTTGACAAATTTCTTCCTAAGTTTTGGACTCCAGAAGAAGAATTGCTGTGGAAAAAAATTAGGAAATCCTCTTTCAAACCCTGGTATAAAGAGATTCAAGGGTTCAGGTGCGTTTTCATGCATGCCCCTGTTTCTCTCCTGTGTGCAAAATCTATAAATATAGTGTAGTTCTAAGACTTTTTCATTTTTATTGCCAGTGTAGCAGCAGGATATGTTTTCTTTTTTTTTATTACACTGTTGCCACTGTGCGTTTTACTCAATGAGTATACTTGCTGTGTTTTTTTTCTTTCCCTCTGCTCATTCTTTGTGCTGCTGCACAGTAGAAAATCAGATTCCGAGGACGAGGAATTTGCTTACAAACAAAGCTCTGCCATTATTCCTAATCAACCAAGACCAACTTTTGACTGGAACAGCAGTTGCAGAAGGGATCAGAACTATAAGCCAGCTACTGAATATATGGGAAGCTCATTGTCACAGATTGCAGAAGGAAAAATCTTGGAGGCTTCTGATCAGCCCAGGTTGATATGGCTGCATGAGCTGTACTCTTGATGCGTCAAAAAGAAATGGCTGGATATGCAACGGCTAAGTGAAATTAAACCACGTCCTGTGATGTCGCGCTTCTTTGGTTATGACGATTTTGGTTATAGTAGGGTTTTTTTGCGGGCTTTTTTTGAATGTAGCCATACGTTGCCGCTCTTCTGAAAGGCATCAGTGCAAAAGCCCTGCACAGGGTTGCTGGCTTCGTGTGTGCGCATGTAGGCGTGCCGTTCCTGAGCAGGCCGGGCTGCCGTGACACCTGTACGTGGGTCAGCATGTGCTGTGCTGTGGTCAGTGGTGGTGGATGCCGAGTGCTGTAGCTGTACTGCTCAGGATACTGCAAGTCTAAACCGAATGTATATCGCAGTACATTGTGATCTGCTTGTCTCTTGCTAGTTAATGATATCTTTACTTCCTTCCTTTTGTTTTATATGCTTCAGTCAGTTTTCGTTACTCCAGGCCCTGCAGAAATACTCTGACTACTTGTCTTCTGAAACGAAGACTAGAATTGATCCTACTTCTGGCCCTAGGCTCATAAAATGTAGAAAGAATATTTCCTTTGTACCAGGAGGCAAACAAGGAGAAGCCGAAAATGGGTATTTGTATCCAGATTTAGAAAATGATGACTTGTTCGTCCGGAAAACTGGGGCTTTCCATGTGAATCAAGTTGTTCTCCAAGACCCCCGGTATTTAAAAAAATTCTCTGAGCAGGAGCCTCCCATAGAGGGTGAGATAATTCTGCAACCCAGAGAGGGCCAACCCGTGATTCCAGATTTGGAGAAGGACGACATGATTTTCCGTAAAATCCTCTCTCAGAAAAAAGAGGTGCCTTTATCGGGTGCTCCAGACAAGTATCACCCGGCAACTGACCCGTGGAGTCTTCCAGAGGAGATCCGGTCCAAATTTCTGTGTTTACTTGAAAAAACCACGGTGCCCGAGGAAAGAAAGAGCAATGGCAGAGTGCTGTCGCCATCTTCCCACCCTAAGAAGGACGATATGCTGACCCGCAAGATTGAATCATGGAAGGTGGGAAGCAGCATCCGGCCAGTAAACTTCATCCCAGGTCCGTGCAGCGAAGAAGACTGGCAGAAGTGGGAGGCGATCCGGGAGGCCAGCAGGATCAGGCACAAGAAACGGCAGATGGTGGAGAGGTCAGGTTGTGTCCTGCACGGGTTGTGCTTGAGCGTGGTGCAGCCCTCCCCGTTGAGAAAGGCGTCGTCTTGTGCTGAGCCCTTCCTAGAGTGCCAGCCTGCTGTTTGTTCGTGGCGTCCTGGGCGAGCTTTGTATTTGCTTTGAATAGAAGCTCACGACTGCAATACCATATTTTCAACAAAACATTAGTGTTTTCTCGTTTTAGGCTGCTGTTTTGGAGAAAATGTTACTATTCTTTCACACTCCAAGTTCTGCCTAAGTTGTTTTTTTTTTTTTTTTTTCTGTGATTGAACAGGAATAGCAAGTATTAAAAAGTCTGGAGGCTAGAAATATTCTCCTTTTTTCTCCAATGTAATTGGTAAAAGCATTTCTGAAACACATGAATGCTTTAATGACAAATTTTGGAAATGGGCATTCTGATATCCTTGCTTGCACCTAATTTTGAAAATGCTTGTAAACCATCCTGCTGCAGTTCTGAGATTATTAGATGAGGTGAAAAAAATTTAGTGTTTTGTGTTCCCAAAATCATGGTGCATGCAAGTTGTGTGTCTATGTAATATTAAACTCCACTGTGACATACTTTATTTTGCCAATATTTTCCCTCTGCTTTCATACAGTCCTGATTAATACTTCCTCATATCTTTTTCTGGTATACTCAAAATTTCTTTTTTCTCAATCCTGTTTTTAACTACTTCCTAGCTCTCCTTTGGAATTTGCCCTTAATGGGGGGGGTGGGTGGGGGTTCAAATGTTTCCTTAGCTCTGAAAATACGGCATTGCAATTTGCAGTTCTCCCAGCTGTGCCTTGTTACTTTGACTAAGACGCTTTCATGTACTGATTGCTACTTTGATATTACTGCGTTTAATTTTTAAGCTTAATACTGTTAATAAAGTGTGAGCTTCCCTGAGAAATATTTCTGAAGTGATGGAAAATCATTCACATTTTAAAAAGTCATTCGGTAGAATAAAATACTCATATTCAAGTATACTAAAAATCCTCTTGAATCACATTGGATTAATTTGGTTCTCCACTTAATGTCCTAAACACATATATAGGGCCTTCTATTCTTATTAATTCCAAGTGTTACTTCCAATTAGTATGAGAAATGGTTGCAGTAATAGGAGAACAGCCTCTAGAAGCCAGGCTTCTCGTTGGGACTCTAGTTGGCATGACTTTTCGCTTCTTGAAATGAGTATCTTTTGAGCATCATGCTCTTCAGCAGCGCTGGAATAAGTGGTGCAGAATTAATACAAAGCTCTGTGTGTGCAGTATTGCTACATCAGAAGCACTGGAAACTTAGAGGCTGCCTTATTGTCAGTTTTCTGTCTGGCTTGTGCATCATAGAAGTCCTGATGCGTTTTTTGACTGGTGTCACAACTCCAGTGTGCTGTTCATGTTGGCTGGTCCTCAAGCTTTCAGTTTCCTCTTGACTTAGTGAGAGTGTTGGTGTACTGATGGTGTTAAAGTTGTTATGAATATCAAGACACTGAATCTTTTCTTTTTTGGTTTCTGATTTCTCAGACTGTTTCAAAAGCTTTCTGATGAGCAAGGGTAAGTTCTATAAAAGCTTGAAAGATCATAACACTGTTTTTGCCCATTTTATTTTTTGTGCATGCACAGTAGTTTAAAAACTCACACTGGAAACAGCTTGTGCATGCTGCTTTGTTCTGTGCTTGAGCAATTTACATAATGGGTGTGAGACTAAAAGCTATGCATCTGCCAAAAGTTCTCTTTGGCACCTAGGGTATCGGAGTTATGGGTATTGGGCGTTTTGAAAATGACCTCTGATACGTTATTCCTGCTTAAGTGAAATATTTGCTGTTTGGTATTTAAACCAGGCTTTAAAAGATTCAGAAATATAAAGGAAGATCAGTAAATATTTTCTTTCAAAGGCTGTACATACAGAATCTGAAAATAATTAGTGGCATGTTGTTTATCATGGGAGTAATGAATGTTCTGTGGCTATTTTATGTAGTCCAAGTTATTGAATCCTTAGCGATAAACCTTTTGGTTAGTGCCATATGAACCTGGGCCTTGTTTACAGTGCACTGTGACTGAAAGAGAAATATTTTCCACTTCCAGTGCAATGGCATGCTAAGTATTTGGTTTATGCATAGTGTTCTAACTTTTTTTTTAATGCACATTTATTTATTTCCTCATTTATTTTTTTTCCTGAGGCAAAATGAGGTAAAAGACTAACCACTTCCAGAGGAAGCAAGAAATGTTTCAGAAGAAGTTAAGTATTAGGGGAGGGATACTCAAAAGGCTTAAGTCACTAGTTAGTTTTTCGAATAAGATCTTTGAAGCTAAGACTAGAATTGAAACTAACATCCTGTTCTTTGGTATGAATATATCAATATATCCTTAAATAGCATATATTATATTTAAGTCTAGATTTTCCTGTTTTTTGCAGGAATATACAGAAACTCAAGAGAAGGGAAAGGAAACTCTAGTCAGATAAGTTTTCTTGAAAGAATCTGGAAAGATTGTGATGTTTAGTACAGTTTGGTTACCCCAAACCATTTCTACATGTGATAACCATTTGGAGGGGGGGGAGAGAGAACTATACAAGAAAAGAGATTCAGCAATTGTGACCAGGATATATTTCACTAGATTGGACATCCTTCCCATTCAGAAAATAAGCAAACAGATACAAAGAGTTAATGTCCTAGCCTTTATTTTTTGAGGCCAAAGTCCAGAGTCTTATGTTACCAGTGAAAGTGAGTTGGGCCTCTTGGGAGGAAGTGAGAGAGTCTGGTTTGTTAGTTCAGAGCTCTCTTGGTATGTAGGCGATTAGAGCAAGGCCCTGTGCTGAATCAGTTTTTGTTTTTAACCTGATTTTCTTCCCTATCAGAGAAATGCCACATTTTCAAGTCCTGTTAGAATTTGGTTACACCTCTCCGATGTTCATATTTTATTTGGATAAAAGCAAACAGAAGTTGGGGTTTTTTTTGGAAAAAAAAAAAAAATTAAAAACAAACAAACAAAAACAAACAAAACAAAACAAAAACCAAACCAAACAAACAAACAAAAACAAAAACAAAAAAACAACAACGGAAGCCTGGCTTCCCTTTTATGTTACAGCATTGGACTTTATGATGAAACACCAGCATTTTGCTTGGTGTCTCAGAGGCTTTTGGTCAGCACTGGGCAGGAGTCCTATCTTGCACCTAAATTGGAAGTCCTATGATGTTTATCACTGCAGTATGAAAGAATAAAGGAGAAAATAGCATTGGAGAAATGGGGGGAAAAAATTGAGGAATTTAGATTAAAGGGAACTAGTGAGTAGGAGTTCATGGGGGGAAAACTTTCAGCCATGTTGAAGAAATTAAAATGTCTCTGTTAGCCATCTCAGCCTGGATGGGAAGCATCATGGAGGCATGGAGAGGACTAACATAGGCTAGTGTGGCCCATGATGCACGTGAGCATTTAGCAGTGAAATGCTTTTTTCTTTCAGACACGTGCACGAGTAACTGATTTGATTTTATGATTAACCTAAGGAAGGAAAGTTTGGCTGGTGATTCTGGGGCTGTTGCTGGAGAGAAGTGAAAGGATGGGAATTTGGACTGGAGGAGGAGGAATGCCTTTTAGGTCAGAGAAAGGAGCAAGGTCAGTAAGGAGTACAAGTTTAAACAGAAGTAGCAGTCAGGTACTCAGTGAATGATCAACGTGGAGCTGCTACTACAGAGCTGCTTATTCCCTGAACCTGATTTTGTTTGGTCAAATATGCAACTACTGACTTGAGTGCTGGCACTAGAGCATGTCCCAGCCTTGCTCATTCAGCTGCCCATGTGTTTCCTGCTCTATACAAAATAACACCCAAAAGCACTCAGTTTTACTAACATAAATCTCTCTCACCTGAAGGTTTTGCTTGCATAAATAATGGCTCAGGTCTGTTAAAGCTGAGTACTCTTTTTTTCTTTCTAGGAGTAAGTCATTGAATGACGTCAGCGCAGAGGAGCTGCAGTCATTGCGCAAAATCCGTTATGAAGAGCTGCAAAAGATAAAAGAACAATTACAGGAACAAGATCTAAAGTGGCAAGAAGTAAGTACTCTTCACCCCTTCTCATGGGTCCTGCCTAACTTCAGTGTCCCTAGAAAACGGGCTCGGGCACATGCACGGCAGTTTGCAGGGTTATGTTCTAACATGACCCAACTCCTGCAGCTGCTAGTGGTTTTGGGGATGTCCATTTCACGCAGAAGTGAAATGATTTTAAATAGAAGTATCTAATTAATGTTTCAGGAGAAGACTTTTATGTATTGTAATAAAACCCACAGGCTTGATTTTCATGGACGTAAAGAAACATTCATGTGTTATCTGAAATTTGTGAATACTTTTTTTGTGAAACAATTGGAATGTCTGAATATCTGATCCTTTGGGCAAAGGGAGGGAAATAGTATCTCCTTGTGCAAATTCTTGAGGCTCCTATCTCCCAATAATTCTTTTTTAAATCCAGCCTGTAAACTAATGTGGTAGCTTTGCACAGCATCATAATGTTATCTGAAGATGTTTTCTTTTTTATTAAAATCTGGGCTTGGCAATGATGTCCAACAAGAAGCTGAAATTAAGAACAGCATCGAGCAAGCAGTTCGTAGTTGTTTGCTTAATGCATCTCAGTTTTAATATTCAGTATGTCTCTTAATTTGTTTCATGGAGAATATTGCTAGTTCCCATTGTGGTTTTACAGAAATCAAGAAAATAGAGAAGTATATGTGTTCAATTTGGAATTTAGGGCATGTTTATTCTCAAGCTAATGTGTCCTTCTAACATACTGGTGATTTGGGGGAACAACAACAACAAAAAAAAGGCAAACAATGCGAGCTCCAAAGCCTACAACAAAGAAATACAGATGGCCTTTGCATTAATTTTCAATTATGTGTCATTGAGTCAAGTATTCTAGAAAAAAAATTGGTAATGTCACAGGGAAAAAATGAAAGGACAAAACATGAACTACTGCACTATGAGTGGGAAGGTATAAGTTAACTTTAACAGAGAGTGAATCTATAAGCCTGACTGAAGTATGAGAACCCTTTTATCATTTAGGGGGAAGGTATATGAAAATGTGATATTAATACAGACATGCAAGCAGAATCAGGGCAGTGGACAGCATGTGATGAGATTTCTCTGTATGTTTGCAAGGTCTTGAGAAGGTCTGAATGTATATATTTACACTATTCTGGTAGGATCTGGCAAAATGGAAGAATCGTAGAAAGACCTTCACTTCTGAATTGCAAAAGAAAAAGGAAGAGAGAGAAGAAATAGAAAGGAGAGCCTCTGAGGTGTCTGAAAGGAGTACCAAGTCACTGAAAGAAATGCAGCAGGAGAGGTAATGACTCTGATGGGAGTATTATGTTGAAGAACTTAAATCTGAGCATTTTTATTCCCTTGAATTCTTGAGCAACTTTCACTGGCAACTTGCAATTGATTCTGAAAAAAGTCAACAATCCTAGTTGCAAATTACAGTGTAGAGATCTAGGCAATTGAAGGGCAGAATACGGTCTGCTAATGCATTGTTTTCACAGAATGTTAAACAGTTTAGCTGTATAAATGATGTTTTATTCTGCTATCCATAAATAAATGTCTTGAGAAGTCAGTATTTGCATCCACTTTAGAGATTAAAACAACAGGGTTGAACTGGATTATTGCCTTTTTTATTCTTGGATCAGCTTAACTATTTCTCTTTCCTCTAGCAGTACATTTGCTTTTAGCCACTGTGATTAGAAACAGCCAGAATTTTAATGCATATCACAGAACTGTAAACTTAAATTTCACTTCCTGTCTAGCCCCAGTTGTTTCTCTGGGTATTTACAGAACAAGATTCCTCCGAAGAGTAAAAAGTGTAAACTGAGTAGCACACAGTACCATTTTCACTGGTGAAGGGAATATGCACATGGTGTGTATTCATAAAGGAAATTTAAATAAGTCTTAAAACAATGTTTGCAGTGTCTGTATTTTTTTTTTTTTGTTGTTGCTGTTGTTTGTGAGGACAAAAATTAGTCTCTTGAATAAAAATATGGATCCTCATTGCATTGAATGTCTAGTATTATCAGAATCTCTAAAAATGATGTGGTAAAGATTATCTCTGTGGTGGTTGTTCCTGTATGACAAAGGAATAAATAGCAGAATAAAAATAATCTGAGCTTCAGGACACTATGTTATTTTATCTAAATTTTAGTGTAGCATTTTCATAGAGCAGAGACATCAGAAGAGCTATATAGTTCAGGCAGTGTTACGGGACTACCTTCTTCCCGTTCTTTCCTCAATAAACTGAATTTCTGGGGATATGCGACTTAAATAATAATATTCTTGGCAAAGTGATCTCTGTCATGGTGGCAACCTGATAATGTGACAGTAGTATGGCTGAGTGATACAGGAGTGTTGAAATGGGGAGGAGGGGCAAGAAGGTAGCATTAAAAAGTATATTAAAATGCAAATATTTTTGAATGATATTACTCATTTCCATTTACTAGAGACGTGTTTCTCAGTTTATGCCCTGCCATGAACATTCAGTAGTTGGAAGATGTAGGGCCCACCTGTTTGTCAGGTCACTCTGGTCTTCTGATGAACTCTGTCCCCACAGGGAGGAGAGAGACCAAGACTCCTACGGGCAGCGAAAACTTGAACGCAGATGGACTTATTCACTGAACGATGACGTGTTTAATGAAGAGAAAGCACCTTCCAGCCAGTCAGCAGCTAAAGATTACCTGCTGGAAGAAGAGACCTTCTACAGCACTAAGGACAGCAAAAGCCCCCGTGCCACACAGCCGCACAAGGAGAACCTGCTGGAGAGCGCGGCTGCTCCGGAAGCTCCGGCTCCACCAAAGAGGCTGGCAGAGGAGCAGGGCTCGGCTCTTTTGTCTGAGCGCTACTCCCCGAGTGCTCAAACTGGGTCAGCTCAGGTTGCAGCTTCTCTCCCCAGAAGTTACCAGAAAACCGACACCTCTAGGTTAACATCCGTGGTTACGCCAAGACCTTTTGGTGTCCACTCAAGAGGAATCTCGTCACTTCCACGGTCATTCACGGTAAAAATCCACTTCATTCTTGAAGTTTGTAAATGTCAGGGTCTGGGATAGCCAGGGAACAGTAAGAATTTTAATTTTTTATAATTTCTTTTTATAATCATCTGCTGTTTAAAGGCTGTGTTAATAGAACAGGCAATTCTCTTGTGACTTTAGGTGTTTACTTGTGTTTCTGTACTTAAAGGTAGTCCTAAAAATAAGGCTGACAAATACATTTGTTAGGATAATCTTTTTATTACTTGTAGTGTCTCCTTAGTGTTCCGTGTACAAAAACCTGCCTTCATAGGATATAGTTGTCTGAAGCTAGGTTAACACAGTTAAGACAGATTTTTCAGGTGATATGCTTCCTCTGCTGTACTGACTGTTTTGTAAAATTGAAAATTTTATGCTAACCTAAAATTTGCCAGCTCAAAAAAGCACTGAAACAGAAATTTCTCCCCCTGCCTCCTCCTGATTATTATATCGATTTTCTTAGCTTTCTCCTAACTCCTTATTTGCCTCAATTTAAAAAATTATAAGAATGCAGATCATTCTAAGATGATGATTCTAACAAGTTTGTAATAGAAAAACTGGACTATTTATTCTGCAGGTACTTCAAGAGAAAAAATATGTTGCTTTTTTTTTGAAGTGGGTAATAAGTAGGGGGTAAAGTAACCAGGATTTGCATGAAAGGGAGAGGGGGTTTTGTAGAACAGCTAGATTACTGAAAGATTTGGGATTGTTTTGTGGGTTTTTTTTAAGCATATATTTACCAAACTCTTGTTTTTGTCCTAGATGGATGATGCTCAGAAGTACAACGGAGAAGTAGAAAAAGCTAAAAGAACTCAAACTTTGTTCACAAGCAGTTCATTTTCACAACCAGACTCTGCACACCCTCTCTCCGCTAGTGCATTCAGAAGCAGAGGTGAGGAGGAAGAGGAGGAAAAAGAAGGTGCTCAGTCAACACCTCCTCCTAGTTTGGCACTACCTGTAAAATCCCAAGACCAAGATGCTGGAAGCAGTATTCTTAAACCAGAATATTGCTCTCCTTCTGATTCTTTTTCACTTGCATCTTCTGCAGAAAATGTCAGTCTGCCAGAGCCTGAGGATCCAAAATCCCTGGTAAGTGTGGAAATAATGTGATTACTTAGTGTAACTGAATGCCACAGCAGAGTGAAAATAAAAAAGAAGTAAAATTACATCTAATACCAGTATTTTTTGGTAGTAGGAAGACATCTCAGAAAACTACGATTTCCTTTGATTTAATTCAGAGGAAAGAGAATTTCTATTTGGAATGAAAATACTGGGTTCTTTTGCAACATTTTTTTTGCTTTGCTTTATATGTCCTGTACTTAATTTTATTTCTCACTCAAACTCAAGAGTTACTATAAATATTGTTTGATGCTTGAAAAGTTTTTGTTATTCTCCAAATTGGCATGTTATGGGCACGATCAAGTGTGCCAGAGGATTGATCTGAGCTGCTGTAGCATTCATTTGCACTCTTAAAAAACAAAAATCAGCTTTTTGGATGCCAGTGTTAAACATGAGTATCATACTGTCCTTTTTTCCATCTGTTGTGGCTGGAGTCACTCCCTTCTTAAGAAAAAAATTATTTACTTGAAATTAATCTAATTAATGTTCATGTTCATTAATTTAAAAGCAAATCACCATCTCTGTGGATGTGCTTATCCAAGAGCTGCATCTTTCAGTGGCTTTTTTGAATATGTATCTTCATGAGCAATTGTAGGAAATGGCACTTATATTTCACACGTGAAAAATGATCAGCAATAGCTTTAATTGTCAATACCTTTCTCTATTATCTAATTACGTGGTTCATACATCTTCACAGATTAGACATGAATTCTTTGCATTCCTGATGTTGCTTTAAAAGTTAATTGTGCCAGTTGCTTGAGTGAGGTTCACAAGACTTTGGATGCTGATTTATGAAATCACTTCCCAAACTAATTTTTTATAAATTCAGTCACTTTGAACCATTCTTCTTCCTAATCATTTGTGGAAAAGGAACACATTTAAGTTTAATACTCCTGATACCCCTTGACCATTGTCATGAAATTACAACAATAATTTTTCAAAACTGTGATTATTATATACAGAGGGAGTTCATGATCTTTTTTTCCTGTGTTGTAACAAAAACAAGCAAAAGAATTGCTGTTCTAATTAGTGAAAACATAGATTAGATACGAGTTCTTTGTATTACTTTAAGTGAGATGAGTGAGTACAAAATGTACTACCTCTTTTTTTTTTGTTGTTGGTCTTAGTCAAAAGATTATAAATTGTCCTTCCTGCAAATTAGTAATTTGAGGGATTTAAATGGTGGGGGGGGGAAATAAAAAAATTTGAAAAACATGGTGTTATAGCATGTTTGAGGCACAGTTAAGGAATGCAAGTTCTATTTGACATGTTTGTAAATCACCACCAGAACTGAGAGACTGATATAGTTCACTAGCCATCAGGACAGTAACACCACACTTGTGGAGTCATAAGTGTTTTGGAGATAACTTGTCCAGCTGATGAAATTCAGTGTGCAAAGTTGCTTTAATCCTCTGACAGGAGGTAGGTTTGAAGAAGAGCTGGGTTGGGATGGTGGAAGCAAAAATAACAACAGTAGTTTCCAGGAGTTTACTCAAATTCGAAAGCTTTATATATGCTCTAGCCCAGTGTGCTAACCTGTCTATTGGTAGATTCACTTTTAATGTACTGGTAGTCACCCAAGGACTTGGGTTGTATGGGAGAACTTGCAAGCTAGTAGCTGTGTCTTGAAGAAAGGACTTCATTTCAACCTGGGCTGTTACTGGTGGTGTTTTCCCTGGACCATTCCTGTAACGTGAGGCAAAACCTCAGGATGTTGCCTTGCAATGTTGTTGTCTCCTGCACCCAGCACCCAGGTACTGCTGAAGCCTCCTCCGGCTGCGTCCTGCCCAGGGAGTGGCTGGCCACATCTGCTTGTGCAGTGCCCTTGCAGCTGCCTAGTGCATCCTGCTAACACAGGAGCTTTGCGGAATGTCTTAGATACCTAGACCTTTAAATATTTTAAGTTAGGGAAAGTGAACTCCACCCTTCAGGAAAGCTGCTTCACTAGACAACTAAAATTAGGTGTATATTTAATGCACATATATGAGCATGCAGGCATCTCCTCCATGCATGTGTTGCTCGAGTATGCCTATTTTAACAGCATTTGGCAGAACAAATCTAAAACCCTTTTTATTTTTTTTCCTTCTATAACAATGCCAGTTCCATAATAATGAAGTGAGTAGCTTGCATTTCATTATTTTAATTGGTTTTTAATGAGTTCACAGTAAAACGTTAACATATGCAAAACACGTTTGTAATATGTTCTGGGATTGAAAGCACATGTTCCAGAATGTTTTACTAATCAAATATGTTTGTAGTTTAAAATGGTAGTGCTGCATTTTTGTTGGGATTTTGAAAGCCTCTCAAAAGCCCACTAGAATGGAAGGTCTGGATTCTAGCTAATTATGGGATTTATTTTATTATCTAAGGGCTTCATTAAAAAAAAATCCATAGCAAGCTAGTAGTGTTTCACAAAAAATTAGAAAAGTGATTGCTCACCTAAGTAAACCTAGTTGCAGCACTGAGCTTAAAGGAAACTGATGATGCCTACTGAAGGATGTGCAAGAAAAAAATATTAATTACTGTTCTGTAGTTTTTTCACATCTCCGTTTGTCTGATGCTCATTCAGGAGGCAGTACATTCCACAAATTCAGAAGACTATGAGGACCATATTGGAGTCTCAGTTTCCTCATATTCCTTATGTTTTGTAGCACTGTGTTAGGAGACATTTAAAATAAGACAAATTCACAGCTAAGTATGTGCAGAGAAAATACAAATGTAAGCTGAAAACATACCTGTTCAAATAAACCCCAGATTTGTTACTTAACTGCCTTCAATGCTGTTTGCATTGTCTTTGATGCTAATAATAGATGATTAAAGTGCGTATTGTGAGTAGCCTCACTTATTTAGAGGATAAACTTTCCTTTGTGTAGATTCCTGTGATACCAGATACTGTAGTGTCATGTTTTATTTTTCAGGAACAGTACAGTGAAATGAGAATCAGTATAAACCAGAGACCTGGCCACAGTCGCAGCTTTGGGTTTGCAACAAATTGGAGTTCTTCAGGGGCCTTTGTACAGACAGTTGAAGAAGGTAAATGTGTATTAACTGCACTGATTTTTGTTCTTTTGTCTAGCTTACAGAGACTTCTGAATTAAGGCATTCACTCTTAAAAATGTTGCAAATGCTTAAAAAAACCCCAAACATATGGAAAATTGAAATATCAGTATTTAGCTTGCTACTGTATTCCTGTGAATACTCATATCTTGAAATAGGTTGAGTTCAGAAACGACACAAATGAATTTTCCTAATAAAGGGCTTTTCTGTAACCACTGCAAAGGCATAAGTGTGATTACTCAAACTTTGAGTAAACCCCTTACAAAGTGGTAGTAAGGGCCCCATAGAGACTTCTAATATACATATTGTTTCTTTCAGCTAAATTTAAAAGATTTCACTTCTTATGGGTTGTAAATGCATGCAGAGGAAATTTAGTTAGTATTTTTATTTCAGTTTTCCCTTTCTTAGTCATGTTGAATTTTGGAGACAGTTAATATTTTTAAGGAGTTGCAACTTCTAAATTGGTTTCCAGTGCAGTTCTTTTTTTTCTTTTTTCTTTTTTTTTTTTTTTCTTTAGATACAATAATACTGAGGGAAAATAAACATTTTTGTGTTGAAATGAAACATATGTAAAGTTTATTTCTAAGCCTTAATAGTCTTCTGCAGAGAACAAGCTCAGCTTTCTTAATTTAAAAAAAAAAAAACAAAACACAACATAAGCGCAAGCATATCACATGTAATGCTTGTTTCCTGAAGTGATATTTGCCATTGACAATAATACTTGAGGAATATTGAATTGTCCTTTCTTACAGCTAACACAAGATCATCCCAAGACATAAGAAATAACTGGAAGCTTCTTGTTTACTTAATCCTTTGTTATGCTTTCCAGAGAGGAAAACTTACCATGTAACAACACTTACTGAGCAGCCTTGATTTCTTTTTTAAATTTCTTTCGAATTCTATTTTTAGACCTCTCTTCACTATAGCTGGGTGCTTCTCATAATTACATTGTAACTTTTAATATTTGCTTTACATGAAGAATAACTTTCCATTTGCTTTCCCTGCTGCTAGGCTTCTGGTTTAATTTTTTCACTTGGAGGTAGAAGGCTGTCTCTTCGTGCTGCCAGCTATAAGTGAGAAACCTTTGGTTAGTGAATGTTCCTGCTAGTCATTCAGAAAGGTCAATGTGGACTCTATTCCCAGCTCTGTAGGCAAGGAGAAGATGAAGGCCTTGTGACTATACTTTATTATCATTCTATTTATTAAAATATGTATATTATGCTTTATTAGCATTCTTGCAAGGAAGGGGGCAAAGTATAAAGACTAGAGCCAGCAGTGTGCACTTGCAGCCC